AGAGTCACCTAACTTAAAACACCCTTCTTTGCCCAAAGATAGAGTAGGATAAGAAGGCAAAAGAATGCGAAAGAACTTCACCATAATAGAGCAAAATGACATGTCATATTTATAGGTCTCATGGTCAAGTAACTCTCATTTGTAAGTTAATAATAGGAATAAATTAGGTAACTATTATGAAATAATATGTCCTTAAGTAAGGCAATTAACCTATAACGATTAGTTTGACCAAGTCCTTAATAGGATAATAAATTCAATTTATAAAATATATTATTTTATTTTTATTAAAATATTTAAGTTCCAATGGCTTGTTTATGTTTTTTCATGGATTTTATATAATTTCATTATTTGTTAGAAAATAACTTGAATGCAAAAAAATTAAATTTTGGGACTTAAATAAAAATTTTATGAAAGTTGAGGGATTACACCACAAGAAGAAAAGTTCCAAACATAGACCTAAATGAATGAATTTGAAGTTTAAGTACCAAAGTCTCCATAAAGTAGAAAAGGAAGCACACAAATGTGCATTTTTACCATTAAAGAAATCGCAAAAAGATTAAAAGAAACCCAACATAGGTTGGGTACCAAAGTGGGAAATTTGATACAGTAGTGCTAACTCTAAAAAATAGAAGAGATTATGTGGAATCGAGTATATTATTGATGAAAGATGAAAAGAGCTTACAATAGAGAAAATGAAGAAAAATAATCCCTTCCTAAGTTTAGTATTAGAGTATTTATAGGATATTATGTAGAATCATCTTAGAATTACAATTCTAATTGGGTTGGTATTGGATGTCTTAGTTTTAGTAAAATTTAGCCTATCTAATGTTAATAAAACTCTTTTAGAATATCTTCACGTGTCATAATTCTCATAAAACTCAGTTTATGGTTGTCACGCCCCAAAACCCGAATTCGAGGCGCGACAGACGCCGTGCACTCGTGAACGAGTTCCACGAATGCACAAGGCTCGAAACTTATCCAATTCACATCTAACAATCCATTAAATGAATTTATATGATCTCCAATTACAATCTAGCTTATTCAAATCACAATCTGATACCACCAAAATCTGAAGATAAAATCTTTAAAAATTTACTTTGATATCATAAAATCTCCAAATACACTCTAACTCTTAAGATCACGATCTACATCTCAAATCTATATTCACTTTACAAGATGGCTAGCCTTCTAACTCGTCACTCCCCTTGGTTTTCCCCGTCCTCGGTTTCGCTTCCTGAAATGGTGGACAAGGAAAACTATGAGATAACTCAGTAAGTAAATATGGATAGCCCTTGAGTAAAACTTTTAAACATGCCAGATAAACCACGTAAGCATAACAGAACTTTCAATGATAAACCGTTAATGCGGAAATCAAATTCAGTTTAATAGCAAAACATTCAATGACAAAACCGTTAATGCAGAATAAAACTCATCAGTAGTCTCATCTATAAGTCATGGCCAGTGTTTAACAAACTCCCACTGGCAGGCGTCAGTAATGGTACCAGTGTTTAACACACTCCCACTAGCAGACGTCAATAGTAACCAATGTTTAACCCCATTGGCAGGGTTACAGAAGTACCAGTGTTTAACAAACTCCCACTGGCAGGCGTCAGGAATAGTACCAGTGTTTAACACACTCCCACTAGCAGGCATCAGTAATAACCAATGTTTAACCCCATTGGCAGGGTTACAGAAGTACCAGTGTTTAACAAACTCCCACTGGCAGGCGTCAGTAATCATGACTATATCCGAGACAAAACCATGTAGAATTTACAGAAAAACTCGGAATTTACAATCAATCTCCCATTTTAGAAATAAACCGAAAAATTTCCATGTGAGCATGGATTTAACAGAAAACTCAACATTTACAAAACTCTCAGTTCATCAAAACAGTTCAGTCAATTCCAAATAGGCATGCTCAACTCAATGCAACAAAAACAATTTCATTCCAATCATGCTCAATTCCAGAAAACAATGAAATCCCCATTTTCATTCCAATCATGCCCAATTCCAGAAAAACAATGAAATTCCCGTTTTCATACTAATCACGCTCAATTCCCGAAAAACAATGAAATTCCCATAAAATCATCACAATTTCCATTTCAGTTTAATCACACCCAAATACTGATAAAATTGATTTAAAATCAATTTAAACCTTACCACCATCTCAAAAACAATTGAAAACATGCTTTAAAATCGAAGCGCTTTACCATAATTTACTTACCTTACTCGCACAGAACAGAAGGCTAACCCAAGTGCTACGGTGACAGAACGATCAAAACCAGAATTTTCGGCAAGTAAAGGCCGGTTCCGGCTGGGAAGGAAGCCGACGGCATCTGCAGGGGGGCTCACGGGCCGAAAAATGCCCAGAAATCCAAACCCACATAGCAATGGCGGACAGGGGAGAAGAGCAGAGCAGATCTGGAATTTCCAACAGAGGTGGGGGGATTTCTGGGTTCAAGAACAAGAAAAGAATGAGAAAATCCCAAGCTTGGTCACCAATTTTCTCAAAAATGAGTCGGTGGCTAGAGGGGCTTGGGGGGGGCTGTCGGGAGGAAGAGTCGGGAAGAAGAAGAAGATGAGGACGAGCAAAACACGTGGCTGAGGAGAGAAATATCAGCCTTGATCCTTATCCTAATTTCCTTTCTTTTTAGTCCCCCAACTTTTTAAAATTTTACAATTAAGCCTCGAAATAAAATTTTTCCTCAAATAAGTCCCCAATTTAATGCTAAAATACCCCAAAATTTTGGGATATTACAATGGTATAACAAATAGTATGGATAATAATATCGTTGTGTTGGCACTTCTAGCACATTGTCCAAATCCAAATTAATTATCCAACCCAACAGCCACTTTTCAGTTTTTATGACACGTTAGCAATTTAGATGAATCCCATAAATGAAATCCGTACACCAACTTAGCTCCAACATCCCATTAATTCTTGAATAGTAAAATAAAAAAGATGATATCTTTGATTAAAAACTTTTAAAAGATAGTATCCTTACTTAGAAAAATTTTTAAAAGTAATATCCTTTATAAAGAGAAAAATCTCATTAAGCGTAGGATAAAAAAAAAGAAAAAGTAATGTGGTAAAGGCTGAATAAAATAAATGAAAAGAAAAATAAATAAATAAATAATAAGGATTGAACATTTGAACAATCACACAACTCGGAGAAAACATTTTCAATGTCATGCTCTAAAGAATGGTGGTGATTCAA